ACTCGTGATGCTTCGAAAATACTTACACACATACGTGCGCGATCATTTTGTCGTGTTTCTTATCAGGAGACGCGGTAGCGTCTTGCTAAGTTATTTCTTTCATTCGTTAAATTAAAATACAATTTACAAAAAAACAAAAAAAATATCGAAAGATATCGAAAAGATAGCGAAAATATCGAAACAATAGCGAAAATTATCCGTAGGACGCTACTGTGTATCCTTTACTGGACGTAACACGATTTTCGTAACCTTGAAAACAAAAATTTGAAATATTTCATGAACGGGAACATATTTGTCAAAAGATGACCATATCAATCGAAAGCGCGATTTTTTTCCGAGTAAAATGAGACCTTAACGAACTTGATAGCACTATTGGTTGCGGAGATATGAATTTTTTAAGTTATTTTTTGGTCGAAAAGGTGTCACTTTTTTGTCCGACTACGGCGTCGTACTTGTCCCGGTCACCCATCCCGACAAAGTGATTTTGTCCGCAGCTGCTTTACCTTATCCGCGGCCACCCATCCTAGTATAGTGACATTTTCCTCAGCTGCTTAACCTTTTAAGCAACCAAACGAAAAATAAATTCTCGCTCTCTCTCTCACTCTCTCTCTCTCTCTCCCTCCCTTTCTCTCCCCCTCTCTTTCACCCTTTTTCTCTTGCTTTCCCACGTCTTCTTTCGCTCTCTCTCGCCCTCTCTCGTTCTCTCTCGCTCTCTTCCGCTCTCTCTTGCTCTCTTCCGTTATCTATCGCTCTCTCTCGCTCTCTCTCGCGTTCTCTCGCTCTCCCGCTCTCTCTCGCGTTCTCTAGCTCTCTCCCGCTCTCTCTCTCTCTCGCGTTCTCTCGCTCTCTCTCGTCTTCTCTCGCTCTCTCTCGGTTTTTTTTCGCTCTTTCTCGCTTTCTCTCGCTTTCTTCCGCACTCTCTCGCTCTCTCCCGCTCTCTATCGCTAATATAAGGCACAAAGAATTAAATTTAAAAAATTAAAAAAATTTAAAGTTAAATAAAAATTTTTAATTTAAATTAAAAAATAAAAGTAAAAAAAATGTAAATTACTTAGTATGTAATGTAAAAAATACTTAGCGCTGTTTTTGTATTGTAGCCCTTTGACTACGAAACGTCCTTAAAAATGATTAGTAACGAAATGTGTATATACAGAATATATCACACACAGAAGTCGCATCCTATCTTTGGAGAGTGAAATGATGAAGTCAAAATCAGTCAAAATTAAAGAATCATGAAATTATATTTGAACCTTTTTTATAAAAAAAATTCATAATGAAAATAATGCACTTTAAACATCTATCTCGAAACTCTGATTGCGATCAAGGAAACATTGCAAATGCTTTAAAACATGTATCAGGATAAAGAAATTTTTATTCATTTATATTTTAATTGATCAATTAAACACTTTAAAATGCTCCATATACATTAATTAATATATGCTAAAGACATATACATATATATGTATATGTATACGTCTTTAGCATATATTAATGTATAGTACATTTATTTTTATAATTTTCACTTAGTTTTATGATTGATGATTACACAATCGAATCCCAGTAGACCAACAACTCAATATAGTAATCGAATCATTATTTTTAAACAAGAATGACAAAAAAACGGACATACAAGAAAAATTACTTCACATGCATAAAGACACAATTAAATTCTGCAATCAAAACCCTAATATTTTATTTACTAGAGCAGATAAAAGCAGCATTACAGTCGCATTAGAAAAAGAATTTTATATAAAAAAAGTTGAAAGTCTCCTAGAAGACGATTCTACGTATACCATAGTTAAAAACAATTCATCAACAAAAATAGAAAAAGACCTCAATAATTGTTTAAAAAAATGGTTGAAAATGATTTCATCAACAAAAAAGAATATTATTATTTATTTTCAAGCGACTCCCTTCTTCTTAAAGCCTATGGGCTCCTCAAGATCCACAAGAAAAATATTCCTTTTAGATTAATAGTTTCCTCAATAAATACTTCTCTATATAATATTGCTTCCTTCTTTCATAAAATTTTAAAAGATAGCCTTCCTAGAGCTGACAGTTTTGTGAATAACAGTTTCGATATATGCAACATTCTATCAGGGAAAACACTACAAGATTCCGACATAATAGTTTCATTGGACGTTGTTTCATTATTTACTAATGTTTCCGTAGATCTTGCATTAAACGGTATCAATAATAGATGGCATTTTATAGAGTCACACACAAAGATTCCCAAAAATGAATTCATAGGTATGATAAAATTTATATTAACTTCCACATTTTTCACTTTCAATAACATAACTTACAAACAAATTTATGGGACTCCTATGGGTTCCCCACTTTCTCCGATCATTGCCGATATAGTCATGCAGGACTTGGAAACATTGGTAATTAGTAATTTAAATTGCGAAATGACTTTTTATTTCCGTTATGTAGACGATATTATTTTATGCACTTCCGCTGACAATATTACATATGTTTTGAACGAATTCAACAATTATAACGACAGACTACAATTTACATTGGAAAAAGAGGATAATCGGTGTATAAGCTTTTTAGACATAATGATCAAAGTAATAGATAATAAAATTTATTTAGATTGGTATCACAAAAAGACATTCTCAGGTAGATTACTTTCATTTTTTTCAAATCATCCGACTTGTCATAAAATAGGAACAATTTATAACTTGGTAGATAGAACTTTATTACTATCACATCCGCAATTTCACAAAAAAAATATAGAGAAAGCTATTAACATTTTGCTATCCAATGGTTATCCTCTTGATCTAATTTTCACAGAAATAAAACGCAGATTGAAAAATCTCTCAACTAAGAAATTTAACAAGCCTAATAACAACAATATAACAGATACTAATAATACTAATACTAACATTAAATATTTTGTCATACCATATATAGAATCAATATCTGATAAAGTTGCTTCAGCAATAAGAAGACCTGACGTAGTGGTAGGATATTGTTGCATTAAAAAATTGAATGACTTCATAAGAGTTCAAAAGGACAGAAATAATTGCCCCACGAATTCTAATGTTGTTTATAAATTGAATTGCAACGATTGTGACGCCACATATGTCGGACAGACAAAAAGACAGTTAAGAACGAGACTTAAAGAACACAAAAATAATATTAAATTAGACTCTGCTAAACATTCGGTTGCCACGGAACACATTCTAAACGAACAACATACATTTGACTGGGACAATATTAAAATTATGGATCATGAAAAGAATTACCATAAAAGACTAATATCTGAAATGATCCACATTAAAGAACAGAAAAATGGAATTAATTTAAATAAAGACACCGAATTGTTAGACAGTAGTTATTTTGACATACTTAAAAAATTTGCTGAATCATAGTTTAGAAAAAACATTGGTAATAAATAAATACATCACGCTCTCTACTTTGACATTTGATATTCAGACTTCGCAACACACACTTGTAATATCGGGAAAAAGGACTTGTTAAAACGATAATGTAAGTTGAAAGATTTTTTAATTTTCTCTGATATTGATTTAATTCGCGTATTATATCCGCAGCATGTTTAAATGTTGCATAATTTGGCATCTCAGACCAATCGCCTTGCACATCTATTGGTCAACAGCGAAGAATCGTTTTAATTTTATATTTTAATATTTAACTAACTTTGTATTTTTAGCATTTAACTTTGTATTTTAATATTTAACTTTTATGTATTGATAAAGACTGTAGTGCAGTCGAAACGTTTACGATTTATATTGTTTCTGTAACGGAATGTTAATTTAATTATTTAACTATTAATAAATTTTTACATCTTATTTATTTGCTCGTTTAGTTGGCCTACTATATTTGATTTGCTTAATTTTGTTAATTTATACGAGCCTTTCATTAATTAATTGTAATCGAACATGTTTAATTATTATATACAGATTTAATATATTAGCGTTATTATTTAACAAAAAATCCCAATTGCCCAATTGTTGAATCTGTTTAATATGACAATTATTACATGTTACATTATATACATATATTTCATACATGTATATCGATATGTTCAGCTAGCCACGTGTCATTCGAATATCGAGCCACGTAATATGTTTATAGATTTCTATTGAAGCGTATTGCAGTAAAAAAATTAGTCTATACTTTGATTTATATTTTATTTTATTTACTAATGTGTTAAAATAACAATACAAAAACAACGCTAAGTATTTTTTGTACATTACATTTTTTTTACTTTTATTTTTTAAATTAAATTAAAAATCTTTATTTAACTTTAAATTTTTTTAATTTTTTAAATTTAATTCTTTGTGCCTTATATTACCTTTTTTAAATATACGCGCGTTTAAATATATTTGAATTAAATAATTATTTAGAGATAAATAATTTATTTTATTAAATATATCTATTTATCTAAATATTTTATAAAAATATATAATAACTTTACAATGTATATACATTCCAGTTTAAATTAATTACATAATTATTCATGTTATTTAAATGTAAAGATAAATAAATATATATATATATATATATATTTTGCTGAATTTTTGTTATTATATATATTATAAACGTTTTAAAATAAAGCAATAATTATACATTTGTATCATTATAGGAAATTTATCTAAATATTATATATTATGTTGTCACTTACTTAGTGCAACTTTTTGATTTCACTACTTTTTGATGCTAATATTTTAACCTTTTTTCTCGTATTATCAACATAATTATGTAGCGCAAGTTTTTGATTTCATTACTTTTTGATGCTATATTTTAATTTTTTTCTAGTATTATTTACAAAAATAAAATATAATTTATAAATATAATTTTCCAGAAAATATTTTTGATAATGATTAATTTTTGCAAAGAATTATTTTGGCTATAAACATAATTTTTGAGAAGATAATATTTTTTATTATTATAAAGAACTATTTTTGCTGGCGAAAGATATAACGTAGCGCTTTTTTTTTACATCTGTGATGTCTTTTTTTGTGGGATTGTATATAAAGTTAATAACTTGAATTGTAATTTTATTAAAAAAATGATTAAATGTAACGTTAACTGTATTATAAAATGTGAGCAAAAGTAAATAAAAGCAATATTTCTTAACAGATATTATCTAGAATCGCAATAATTCATTGCTCCATACAAAAATATATACACATAAAAAGAATTACGATTGATTTGTCTCTCCATGTCCAAAAATATCCAACGAACTTATTATAAGTATCGAATCTTCTATGTTATTTCTTAAGGTTTTGATATTTTCGAGACAATTTGTAAAGTTTGGCCTACCAATTACAGATTTCCAACAACGTAGCATCAACTGATACAACATCGGTGGACAGTTGAGAAGTTTTGGCAGTTTGCCTCCCTCACGCACATATTTTAAAACTTCGGAATTACTCTTGGCAGGATAAGGATGTTCACCCAATGACATAATTTCTCACATTAGTACCCCGAAAGCCCATACATCGTTTTGTGAAGTAAATATTCCAAACACCAAAGATTCCGGTGCCGTCCAGCGAATAGGAAGCATGGGTTCTCCTTCCTAAAACACAATCATATAGTACAATAAAATTTTTTTATTATTATAATTACCGCAAGATTTGGCATTACAACTTGAACTGCTATATCATCCGGTGCATGACCCGTAGTTATCAGTTTCACATCCGGGCCGAATTGCAAATCCATCGATAATTTGTAGACGTAAAAATTGCTCAATGCCAGCTTTAACGTGTATTCTGTAAACTGCGTCAAATTTTGAAATTCGTACCGCTGTTTGTACGTTTGGACATGAAATTCTTCGAATTTGTTAAGATCATTGTCCAAACATTTGAAATAACTCACAGAAATGTTATATATAAAAACTAAGTTGTACTTTTCACATTCATCATTGAGAATCGGCTGCGGAAGATTCACGTTAATGCTGTCTGCAGTTATTAGCACTTCTTCAACACGATAATCCTTCGTAGGTATTAGACATATCTTCGGGGGATATAATTGTAAAGTTTTATCAAGAGCTATGATTGGAGAGATAACGGCCTCTCCAAAATGGATTTTTTGAAGACAATCAAATAAATTTTTTTGCTTTGGAGAAGAGCATTCTTTTTTTTTTAAATATGTATTACTCGATTAGAAATCAAATAAATATTTATACTATCAATTGATAAATCATCAAAACGATAATTTGATTGATTTAGAAATCTTAAAATCATATTGCAATTACAACCATTAATATCCGTTACGATTAAATATTCATTGTTAATTATCCAATATATTAGCGGCTCGTCAATATTCGTTGTATCAATCGTCATGAGAATGTACTCAATTTCTAGCAATCCTAGAAATGTGTTGAGGCAATAGCATTTATTGTTTGCCATATATAATTTGTTGCTACCATTAAAATCCATTTGCACTGTTAAAGAATCTTCTTTTCAATACAAATATCTGAAAAATATACATATTTCTCACTTCTATTAAAACATTATTATAAATATCTATCACAAACTAATATGTGATTATTTATATCTTATACGTTTTTATGTAAATTTATGATTTCATTACTTATGGATCTTTAATACAGAATCTGCATATTAAATTGACAAGTTGTTTAGAATTATTATTCCATGTTATTATATTTCACGAATTTGCACGATGTTTGGACATGTATCTGTTGGGATGTGTTGGTCGAGACAAGAGACACGGTTTTCTTTTATATATATAAGCATCATTGTCTCATTTTGTTTTGGTCTTATCACGTGAACGAAGAAACGGTCAATCACATGAACATGAACGGTCAAAATATCAATCGCGGAATTCCGAGATGTATCGGGCTTTTTCGGATCGACAACGAAGGCTTACCTGTGCGGCCTGAAGTAAATGCGCACAGGTCACTTGCTAATCTTCATGTCTCGAGGAGCGCATCGCAATACATAGTCGCGCATAATCTTGATAAATCAATATTATACGAGGATCAAGTCATTACAGTTTATTTCAATCAAACTCTCTTATACCATCGCGCCCGTACCGCTGCATTAAATAAAAACTAGAAGCCTGTGCTTCGGTTCGCGTCGCCCGTGGAGATTCAAAATTATACCCGGGACTTTACACGCGAGAGAATTCACGAAACAATTACTTTTATTTAAAAATATGTTTTTAAATATTTAAGCCATAAGGCCATAAATATAATTTAGGCCATAAATTTAAGCGATTAAAAAATAAAAAAATATCTTATAACTATATTTAAGTAATAACAAACTAACACTTACAGTACCAAATGTGCCGCTATCTAAAAACTTTGTTTGAATAATTTGATTTTTTGCGATTTTGGTCAACGCATATTGGTCTGAATTATATCGCAATCTAGGAGGGTTTAGCAAATTTAGTTGAGTGCACCCAAAAGGTATTTCATTTAAAGGTACTAATTCCGTATTTATCATTATTGGAGGCGAAACTATTTCGTTACTTTCTTTGCGTTGCTTGTGTGCTGTCATAAAAAAACTTTTAATACACGACATAATGCTACGCATTGCAATATCTTAATACTTTTTAAGAAATAATGCCGACTTTTTCAAATTTTATATGTTCGTATATCTATATACCAAATCTAAACAATTTATAATAAAAATCCAAAATTTATATGAAATATACTTACTACAATAAAAGTAGTAAACATTGTATATTACAATGATTACAATAAGACATAAAATTAATGGCAGATAATATTGCATAGTTGCCCCAGTTGCGCTAGGAATCTTTCTTGCATCACCTTTGTTACACAAAAGTACAATTCTTCGTTTTATTGGACTTTTTATTTAAAATATTTTATCATAATATCTAAGAACTACATTACTTGAAATGGACACCAAAGAAAGGTTGAAACGTAATGAGATTAATAAATTGCCAGTTGGTCGACACATATTTCTCAAATATATAATAATGAACACTCTTCTCTCGACCAAACTGGCAAAATTTTATTAATTTACTTCACAACGTTTCGACCATGATTTAAATCCTTAGCAAGTAATTTGCGAAATGTAGTTAAAATTTTAGGAAGTAAGCCAAGTAATGTGAAGGACGTGATGTCTTGACACAATGTACACACTCGCTTACTTCTTAAAATTAAAACTACATTTCGCAAATCTTATAAAAATCACTTGCTGAGGACCTAAATCATGGTTAAAATGTTGTAAGTTGAATTAATAAAATTTTGCCAGTTTGGTCGGGTGTTTATTATTTTATTTTTAATTCTATCTGGCGATTCTTCATGCACATATTTATCAATTATTATTAAGACATTTTACTTAACGTATTAACGTTACTGTATAATTACTACTTTATTATGCCTTACAGAAAAAAATGGTACAGGACTTTTCGACTCAGTTTTCCACGAGGAATATAGCTATATAAATATAGGACGCCAATTAAGTGACACCCTATATAATATATAAGTATACATACACAACATTTTATACATATTTTTTTTTAAACTTATTAGATTTTAAAATTGTGAAAATATTTACAAATAGGAGCCTTTAAAAATTAGACCTTACAAAGGAACTCTTACCGACTTCATTACTTTCTCTCACAGTCTCGTTTTCAAAATAATACTGGACAGATTTGATATTTGATGACATGTACTCATGGACATCGATGATTCTGAAGGATGAGTTATCCTAGTAATAAATATGCATCGTACAACTTATAAAAATTTATTCTATTGAATCACATGATGAACAGTACCTAATGTGATATTAGATTAAAACTTATTTCTCAATTAATTTAATAAATAAGTCGTTGGAGTAATTAATGCCAAATTCCAAATAGTAAAATTAATGTATATGTGATAGATATCCGAACTTTCAAATCAATGTTCAACTTTATTACGAGTAGAAATGGCCCTTCTTTTGCTTTTGCAGATAATCAAATGATTAAAGTAAGTCATTAAGTTATTTGGATCAAGTAACTATCACTTATTCAAAGAGATGAATGTTTTTGATATTTTTATAATTACATAAATGACATGCATTGAGCTAAATTAAATTATTATAAAATAAAACTAGAAAGAAATATAGAAAATACTGTATAACATATAAAATACTGTGTAAAACACCGTTTAAATAAATTGTTCTTATTGTGTTTCTGATCAAAATATCTTTTTAAATACCAAAGATTTTTTGCATTAAAAAGAAAACTACTAAATATTGAAATAGGAGTTCGGTACAATAAATTGCGTTCTCAATCAAACAGTTTTAAGGCCAATAATATACACAGCAGCTATTGTTTTTTATATGTTCCAATTGATATACAATTTATCATTTCAAGTATACGTTAACACATATATGTACATGAAATTAATATAAAAACTAAATTATTATAAAGACAAAATTATTTTAACAATTTAAGAGAACCGGGCTTGTAAGACTCACAGTTACATATATATATATATATATATATATATATATATATGTATATATATACGAGGGCAGTCCGATAAGTACTTAGCCTCATCGCCCAATGGTGCCAGTATCGCAAGAGAGTTTTACTATCGTGTAGTACATTTTCGTGGACGGCTACTGTCAAAATTTCAGCCGAATCGGACTCGTAGTTTTGTTTTGACCGCGTGTGGAAAGCGGGCGTGTCCGCGGATTTTAGAAAAATGGAAAAAGATCAATATCGGTCGATGATTCGATTCTTGTTTTTGGAAGGGAAATCGCGCAGCGAAATCAAAGATTCTTCATTTCGACATCTTTGATTTTGCTGCGCGATTTTCTTTCCAAAAACAAGAATCGAATCACCGACCGATATTGCTCTTTTTCCATTTTTCTAAAATCCGCGGACACTCCCGCTTCCACACACACACACATATATATATATATATATATATATATATATATATAACTGTGAGTCTTACAAACCCGTTTCTATTAAAATGTTAAAATAATTTTGTCTAATAATTTAGTTTTTATATTAATTTCATGTACATATATGTGTTAACGTATACTTGAAATGATAAATTGTATATCAATTGAAACATATAAAAAACAATAGATGCTGTGTATATTATTGGCCTTGAAACTGTTTGATTGAGAACGCAATTTATTGTACCAAACTCCTATTTCAATATTTAGTTGTTTTCTACGCATGCAATTTATCCTAAAAAGTTCTAATTTTCCATATTGATTACTTTAAATAATAAATAAATTTCTTAAAAATTTTACACAAAAATTAATAAATATAAATATTTGAGAAAAGTTTTAGACATCACAAGAGAATAATGTGAGAATAAGTGTATAAAAAATATGATATACATACATGCATGTTTATCATGTAACAGAAGATATATGGAATGAATAACAAAATTATTAATAATAATAATAATACATGAATTTTAAATCGGCCAATAGAACCTAAGCGCAAAAAATTAATTCTTCGGAACTGTATCTCTTGGTTTAAGATTACTAAGTTCCATATATAAATTAATCTTGAACTTACATATGGAGAAAAATAGGCCAGAAAAATATAGGTCCGAAAAGTCGCTGAAGCGGGAATCGAACCCGCGTCTTTCACTGTCTGGGCGACTGCTCTTACCAACTAAGCTATTCAGACCCCTTCAATCCTATATTTTCCATTTGCCGTTTAGTGGATGTTAGTAAATAACGCCATGATTAGGCCCAGGCGTAAATAAATAAGGAATATATGTCCATATGTAAGTTTGAGATTGATTTATATATGGAATTTATTAATCTCAAACCAAGAGATACAGTTCCGAAGAATTAATTTTTCGCGCTTGGACTCTATTAGTCGATTTAAAATTCATGTATTATTATTATTAATAATATTGAGAGCCGACATATATTTCTTAAAATCATTAATATTAACAATTCATAACAAAACATTTTTATCAACATATGTTACGTTTAAGTTTAAATATTCATTACAATTAAATTTAAATGTGTAACAATATAACATCAATCTTTGAATATATGACGTAAAATTGAATTTTACTTTTTTTATATCATTAATTTTTCATAAATAGTGACAGAGTATAAAATATTAATATCACAAACAATCTATTGTCTGAAGTGTATATAACATTTAATTTAATCGCGGGGTCTAATATCCGTTCTGTCTTGCTGCGCTAAAGTTGAACATGTCCAACGTTAACGCTCTTGTTAAGGGAATAACTGAGCGATTTTAGCAGCAGCATCAAAAAACGTTTCATGTAAAGATGGTAGCGAATAAATAACTAAGCGAATAGCCACTAATTTGGTATCATGCGCATGTGCGAGACAAATTTTTGCCAAAACGCTTGCAACTTTTTTTTTATCAGCAACGTGTAAATAAATTAACGCTAGCGACTTTGTCAGTCAGAAATTCGTTTTGCAAGAGCAAAAAGCTTGCGATAAAA